GTGTACTGCGCCTTCCACACAGGCGCAGTACACTCAGCGATGTGGTTACATACACCGGCGGCGGCGGGCAACTACGGTGGTGCATGACCAGAGTTGTGATCTGATAACAGCTTTCGCTGAAAAAACAACAAGAAAACATACTCGTTATGCAGAGACAAGCTTGGCTTTCGCGAACAGTTGCCGTAGTCGTCACATTATTTGCCGACCTCATTGTGTTCGGGCAAGGAGCACCCGCTTCACCAACTATTGATTTCAGGACAGAGTTATTTAAGTGTGCATCGTAATAAAATTAAAGCCATAGATGCCTCACCAAGTAAAAAAATATACCGACAACCGGCGTCGGCGGCGTCACGACTGACTCGAAAAATTGTCGCCTGATGACGTCACTAACGGAAACCGTTTATGAAGGCATCATGACGTTATTATGAATCGACTATTAAGTCACATAGTGAGTCATCACTTAAACTATTGCGTAGTGAAATATATTTCCATCCCAGAGGCATTGCAAAACAAGCTTAGGTGTTGATTGATATGTGGGGTTTAACGTCCCAAAACCACTATATGATTATGAGAGACGCCGTAGTGGAGGGCTCCGGAAATTTAGACCACCTGGGGTTCTTTAACGTGCACCCAAATCTGAGCACACGGGCCTACAACATTTCCGCCTCCATCGGAAATGCAACCGTCGCGGCCGGGATTCAATCCCGCGACCTGCGGGTCAGCAGCCGAGTACCTTAGCCACTAGACCACCGCGGTGGGGCTGTGACATTTCCGTGTACGATAGGCCAAGGTAAGCTTCCTTTCTTGACACATTAAATACACCGAATGATCCATATGTAGTGCGAAATGAAGGCAAGCACGCGATCGACGTTTTACGTTGTCGGCAATGAAAAAACATGATTGTTGTTTCCATGTGCGCTCTGGCAGTAGCAGACGCGTACTCTTGTGAACGAACTTTCGCAGCGTGCAGAAAAAAGAACAAAGATGGCACAGCTATAGGACTAGAAAGCATGACAAGGCATGAGTCATGTCCTCCGTATTACTGAATACCACCCGCTGCTGCGAGGCAGCTAGCTCAGCTTTAAACGCTGTGAAGCAAGATGAACTACTCACCTCATTTTGTTTCTTTTTATTTTCGTGTCATGCTTGCACTCCCCATTTGATGAGAGTATCGACTGTACAGGTGTATGAGGCCTGCTGCACGAACGTGGCTTAGCGTGAGAGGTGCCGAATTCAGGCACGGCATGATATCGATTGCACGATGAGATCTCAAAATTAGCGCAAACGTAAGCGGACCCTTGAAGCGCTCTTCGGAGTTTAACACCCACATACGCGGTGCACGAGAGAAAAACCGCACATATCCGAATGTGGCAATTATCATTCATTTATTCTTTATTCTTTATTAGGGTAGTATTCAAGCTGCTGAATCAAACTGACTTTTAATACATGAATGAATTAAAAGTCAGTTTGATTCAGCAGCTTGAATACCACCCTAATAAAGGAGCAGAAAACTAGGGAACCTTAAAGCTTTGCATTTAAAAGCTGAACGCGATAGCTATATTCTGTTCCTAGTGCTTACTTCAGACAAGACAAGATCCTTGACGATGTGCCGCATACCCACGCTGAGGGATTGGCCAAGAACCGGATAGCTTTCATGAATTTCTTCTTTAATGACAGAATAAAATTTATCCATTTACGAGAAATAAAAGAAAGATGCGACAAGACGAATTTGACGGTTGAATTGTAACTAATCTGTAGTGTAATGCAATAAAGCGTCGTATTTGATATAATATGAATTTGGAAATTTCAAAATCTACCGAACAATGATTTCAACACTTAAACCTCTTTGAACTTTTGACGAACTCCTGCTATGTGTAAACCGTCTTCCTGTCACTGTGGCCTAGACACAAAGCTCCGAAAGAAAGCACATTTTCAGCATTTAAATCTATTCCGAGAATGTGGCAAGCGGTACCTTAGGTGTTTTTACGTAAGGCAGAGAATCTGTTACAATAAACGAGATAATGTTCAGTTGACTCATTTACTCCACAAACAGGACAATGAGGGGAGGCTGCCAGACCAGCTCTGTGTAAATATAAATTCAGCTGTGGAACTTGACAGCGCAGCTTAGTGATTGCGACTTCCGTTCCTCGCGTTTGACATACTTTACTATTCCAATGGTATAAGAAGTTCTTGAATTCTGGTGTGGCTGGTAGTGAAGGTGTAGGAAATTCCTCTAACAGTGGTTTTCTTCTTAATCTAGCGCCTATCAAGAATTTCGATGCCGGTAATACATCAATAACAGGCCCATTCAAAGATGACTTGGCCAACGCATCTGCCATTTCGCTCATATAAATGCCCTTATAGTTTATGCATGAAGCCTTTTTGAACTTACTATGCACCCACTACATGGCATTAAGGAAATAGGCGCCATAGCGTGTGTGCCTTGTGTAGTGGGTGACTGGATATAAACCCTGAAGTCATTATGATAATCGCATGTTCTGACGCTCGCCGGCAATGGGCGCTTGTACCGTGAAATATTACTGCATTATTTAATGTTGTATTCTGAAGCATGTATAGAGGACGCATATGCATGTGAAGCACGAGTTACTGTTATTGCGTGTCCAAGCAGAGAAAGTTATTCTCACCGTACTCACAAGCAGACGCGCGGTCGTGTGGTAGATCGCCCGCTTGCCACGCGTGCGGCGTGGCTTCAGTCCCCACTCGGACAGAGGATTTTTTTATTATTTATTTGAAGTGCATCGTTCTCGATTTGTCGCTGACGCATAAAATGATTATTTTTTGCTCACAACCCACGACGCCCACATTTCTTTGAAATGGGCTCTTTATTAAAAATGCACAGACGTTCCTGCAGGCGGGATGATGCAGCATTCCCTATGCGTGAATTGCAGGCGGCGAATCTCGGACAATGAGCGGAGTTCGTTAAAAGCAAGCAACAACGCAATGCCAACATCGGCATGTCGTATATGAGTGTGAAAATCTAACAACGATAGCTGTGTCTCACAAGTGCAATAAATCAAAACACAAAGTTTTTCGAACACACAACCGTAACTGGACTTTTACAATGCAAGCAGACAGCAAGCAATCAATACTGCAGTAGTTGCTTGGACGTGCCGCGTTGCGTACTAATTCACGTAGTCGAAACAAACGATTTCAAGCGATGAATTAAACAACCAAACCGAAGGCGAGACTGAGCTAGAACTTCCTTTATTCTTTCAACTGCAGTGCGATTCACGCTTTTCTTCCTCTATTGAACAATTTGACCAGCAACCGATAGTTTTACAGGTAGATCGCGTGCATTAGTACTGTCTGCAGTGCACACAGCAATAATTTGGACCTCGCTGACACTTTCGTGGGGTTGCTTCTGCCATCGCGACATAATAAAAATCGAACAGCGAGCGTCTCGTTTCGGCGCTCCAAGCTGACGGCACGGTGCACCGAAGTTCTCCGCACCGACAGCCGAACGTGTGCTGCGCATGCCGCACATGATCTCACTGCTGCGAAGCACACTAAATTGCTTCGCTGCCTGTCGACCCTATCCCCGATTTCTCCGGAGACTATCGCCAGAGCCTCAGTGCGGAATTGTCATCACTCCGCATACTTGATATTCGGCTTATATATTCCCTGAACCAATGGCTTGACAGACCGCCTAAACAAAACAGTGACCGTCATGTTATAGGTATGTGCAGGTGCGACGCAAGAGTGCTGGGTAAAATTATGTCGTACGTGGCGTTTGCTTGTAATATAGATATGCAAAAAAACCACTGTGCTTACACCCTTCGAGCTTGTTTATGGATGCCACGTCGATACACTCTTAAAAGCCAGGTACCCAATGGTTTATGGTACCACCCAGAAATCAAAGTAAGTTTACTAGCCTGCTCGGAACCTCATGCACACCTAGAGACGATATCGCAATGCTCATAGACTCTCGCACCGCCAAGAAGAATTTGAGAGCGCCCTTTTGTTCGGTTGTGCTAGCCTCAGTGCTAACGTGTTAGCAAGAAACGAACACTACCACTTTGCACTTTTCTTGCATCAGTGAAAAAACCAGACCGTCCTGGACACTCTAAATCTCATTCGTTCTAGAAGCACGCGAATTTTTCGTGAACAAACATGGCATCTAGTACTTTCGATGATAGTTTACATATGAGCTACGTGAGGTTTTCCGTGGCCACATAGGCTAGTTAATTGTGATCGTCCGACCTTTGTATTTGAAAGTCACATTTTTTTTACTTGCGAACAAGATTCGTGAAAGCTTTTGTAGCGCAGCAATACAGACGAACACGTATCCCACACACACTTAGCAAAATCTGGCCATCCCGATTTGCTGACCGCTTCCCTTGGTGCGGTGACACATCAGCACTACAGCAAATCACTTGTACTTGCCGACAAAGACCAGCCGAGGGCAACTCACACCTAATCACAAGAAACAAATTTGAAAGGTCGTGGGAGGTGCGACTCACCCGGCAGGACCTGGGAAGCTGACGGGCAACTTGGACCAGGCTGAGCGAGCCACTCGGGCCAGTGGGGCCCTGGAATAAGGGCTCCACCTAAGGAAACCTTAGTGTGCCGTTTCAATAAATGTTTATTTCTCCTCCTCCTCTTCTATAACATATCTACTTCAAATTAGCCAGTGCCGCGCAGCTTGTTTTTTTTACGTTTGTTCATAAATGGCCGCACACGGCATAAGTGTTTTGCTTGCTGACGGGTTTGAAAGCTGAATAGCCGCAATGATCTTCGTGCCCAGATAAACATGGTGACATGGCGTTGGTCTTTGCGAAGCCTAAGAATCCCCTAATTTTTATATACAAGACGGCTTCACACACTATAACACATCTTGCTACAGTGTACTATAAACGAAATCAATTATTACGCGAAGCGTTCAGTGCCTCTGGCACAAACGTCATTTAATTTTTCTCGCTAGTAGACATGAAGAAGTATGCACATGTTTCAGGAAATCACTTGAGCATTTTTTCTCCCAGGAAACATCGAGGGAAACTTGAACTCGGCACAGCTGAATTGGATGCATGTGACGAAGTCAGCATTCATTTTCAAGTTCCCGAACATCAAAAGGGGACTTACGCCGCCAGTGTTTTGTACGAGATAGCGGCCCTGAAAAGGAGGATAAGTGATGAGTGCAAAAAATTAACTGTAAAGCATATTAAAACTGCACTGGAATATTTAAACAAAATGGTGTCCCGCCAGAAGCCCCATCCGTATGAAGCAAAAACAAACAAACAAATGAATAAATAAACCTGACGACCTTCTTCAGTAATAATTATTATTGACCCTGTTCATTTAAGGAATAAATAATATTCGCACTGTATTATTATAAGAGAGAGAAAACATAATATATATTGTTTGAGATCCCGATTTCCTTGCTCCTTTTTCACTTGCCAAGCGGCGTTACTTTCCTCCAATTAAAGGGGGGGGGGGTAAACAACAAGAGTGAAGGCAGGGAGGTTAACCAGGCACATGCCCGGTTTGCTACCCTACGCTGGGGGAATAGGAAGGGGGCATAAAGATGACAGAGAGAGGAAAGAGAAGAGAGAGAGAAAAAAAAAGAGGATTGTCAGTCAGTCGACTGGCGCGTATGCAGCGGTGGCACTACACAAAAGTTAAAGGTGGTCACATAGGCCTGTAGTCCTCAAAAAGCACAAGACAGCTTTGACTGCTTTTTGAGCCGACGAAAGGCGATGACGGTGTTCCAGTAGCATCTGCACAGAGAGTGGCCGATCGTCCAATTGTCGCAATGCGTCCGAAAGCTTCTGTCTTTCAGAGGCAAATCGAGGGCAATGACATATCAGATGGTCGATGTCTTCTTAGGTGCAGCAGACGTCGCATTCCGCATTGTCGGTGAATCTGATGAGGGTTCTATATGCTTTTGTGAAGGCAACTCCCAAACATAGGCGACAAAAAAGAGAAGCTTCACGTCGACGAAGTCCGGATGGAGGTCGAAGTTCCAGTCGAGGATTTATTTGGTATAGTCTCGTATGTCTTATGCTTGGGGTGTTCCACTCCTGCAGACTCAGACTACGTGCCAGGTGACGAAGTTGATTTGCAGCGTCAGTACTTGACAAAGGAATCGGAAGGGTGTGTTCTTCTTGGTGCGATGTACGAGCCGCGTTGTCTGCGGAATCATTGCCACTGATCCCACAATGACCAGGAAGTCACTGAAACTTGACCTCGTGGCCTGTTTCTGTGACGTGGTGAACAAGCTTGACAACTTCGTAAGTTAATTGTTCATGGCAACCTCGTCGAAGGACTGACTGCATGCTCTGTAGGGCTGGTTTTGAGTCAGAAAACACAGCCCATTTACTAGGTCTTTGGGATTTGATGTACTCTATGGCGCCACGCAAAGCCGCAAGTTCTGCCGCTGTGGACGTAGTGGCATGTGACAGTTTGATTCGCAGAGTGATTCCTCTAGCTGGAATCACCACCGCACCACCAGAACCAGACGCTGTGGTTGAACCATCGGTGTATATGTGCACGTGGTTGTTGTACATTTCGTGCAGATGGCTCAAGCTCAATTGTTTAAGGGCTGATGAAGGCAAATTTGATTTTTTCTGTATTCCTGGAATTGAAACACGTACTTGTGGAAGTGTCAGGCACCACGGAGGATACACCAGTTTCTCAGCAGGCGTAAAACCTGACGTAAACAACGCACGATGAGCGCAGACAATTGCACTAAATTTCGTGCGGGGCCTCTCAGTAGCGAGGGTTGCCAAGTGGTGGGAAGGATTCCTAGCATGTTGCCTGAGGTACGTACGCACCGTTTCAATGGTGATGTGCGTCATGATCGAGTAGTCCTGTGCAATGGCAATTGTTTCAGCTGTCGATGCGCAGCGGGGTAAACCAAGGCATATCCTAAGCGCTTGGGCTTGAATATTTTGGATTGTGCGCAGGTTCGTTTTGCATGTGTTAGATATAACAGGTAGGCTATACCGCAGGAATCCAGTAAATAATACCTTGTACAGCTGTAACATAGACTCGACAGACATTCCCCAACTTTTCCCAGCAAGAAACCTGAATAAGTGACAAATGGCAGTCAGCCGCTTCTTCACGTAGTTTACGTGGGGTGTCCAAGACAGGTTTCGGTCGATTACGACTCCCAAGAACCTGTGACTCCGGCTGCATGACACCAACTGCCCGTTAATTGATATGCCGTTAGCGGACATTGGTTTTCTGGTGAAGGCCACGACTGCACACTTCTCACTTGCGATTTCAAGCCCTTGTTTGCGTAAGTGGTACGATGTCACTGATGCTGCCTTCTGAAGTCGAGCGTGAAGTTGAAGTCGAGTCACACCTGATGTCCACACACAGATGTCATCAGCATAAATGGAAAGTCGTACACTGCTTGGTTGCTTGCCAACTAGTTCAATGAGTGTTAGGTTGAACAGCGTCGGGCTTAGCACTCCGTCTTGCGGGACTCCTCGGCTGCAGTAATACTCGGGTGTCGGGCCATTCTCTGTCTGCACGTGAAATGATCTATTCTGTAGGTAGCTCTGAACCCACGTATATATCCTGCCACCGAGTCCCACTCCTTCTAGTGCGCTGAGAATGGCTTCGTGGGTGACATTGTCGTAGGCCCCTTTAACGTCAAGAAATAGAGCAGCAGATATCCGCTTGCAGGCCTTCTGGTGTTCTACATATGTCACCAAGTCAACTACATTGTCAATTGACGAGTGGCCTCGTCTGAACCCGGACATGGCATCTGGATATATTTCGTAGGATTCTAAGTACCATTCCAGACGCGTTAAAATCATCCTTTCCATAACCTTTCCCACACAGCTCGCGAGGGCAATCGGGCGGTAAGACGAAATGTCCAAGGGTGACTTGCCGGCTTTGAGAAGTGGAATCAGGCGACTTGACTTCCATTCCTGTGGAACCATGCCAGTTTGCCAAGAGTCATTGTACAACTGCAAGAGTACCTGCCGAGCTTGATCTCCTAGGTGACACAGAGCGCGGTAAGTAATGCCGTCAGGTCCTGGCGCTGAAGAACGTCTACACAAAGCAAGCGCAGCCTTTAGTTCGTCCATTGAAAACGAAATCTCCATTCGGGGATCACGTGAGGATACAGAAAAGTCGGGCGTCTGTGTCCCAGTTGAATTTGAGCCACAGGCAATCCTTCGAAAGAAGGAATCTGCGACATCAATCTCTACGCAGCGTAAGTGAAGTGCCAGAGATTTTAATGGGTAGCGCTGAGTAATGGTTGTACGAAGACCCCGGACAGTTCTCCAGATTAGTGACAGAGGCTTTCTGGGATCCAAAAACTCGCAAAAAGATACCCATCGTTGCTTGGCCAACTTGTCCATGTGACGCTGTATTTTCTTTTGTGTGCGTCTGGCCACTTTCAGATCATCAAGTGACCTCGTGCGTCTATAACGTCGTTCTGCACGACGACGAATCGCTCGGAGTTTCTCAAGATCAATGTCCATATCAGTGCGAGATGAGCTCACCGGAAGCGAACGCGTCGTTGACTGTAGGGCACTCGTTATTGCGTCCTCTAGGTTGAAAGGTGAGGCGCCAACATAGTCTTCCATGATTAACTTGTATTTTTGCCAATCGGTGCACTGGACGGCTCTGGAGTACTTGAGACTTGGAAAGCCGTCAATCTTCAGGTATGTTGGGATGTGGTCACTACCCCTTGTTTCCAAATCCGAAAACCAGTGCACTCTGCGTGTGAACGAGCGTGAGACAAAATAAGGTCCAGGCAACTGCTATAGGCCGATCCGCGCAGATAAGTAGGGCTGCCATCATTCACGAGGATAAGTTCACATTCAGAAGCGAAAGACACTAACTGTCTACGTCTAGTGTTGACCCTGGAGCATCCCCATAAGTAGTGGTGGGCATTGAAGTCACCAGTTATCACCCATGGCTGGAGAGTTTAATTCTAAATTCCGCGCAAGCGCTCTCGGTCTAGACGACTTGATGGATGTAAGTAGGCTCCGATGATGGTGAATGTGGTCTTGTTTTTTACTGTTAGGCAAACGTACTGATTTTCTTCGTCAGGGGGTACAGGGTGATGAACATAAGTTAAGTCGCGCCGTATGAACACAACAACCTTGCTGCGTTCTTCATGGGTAGAAGACATAAAGCACTCATATCCAGACAGTCTCATCTGGGCTGACAGGTTCGATTCACAAATCACAATTATGGAGAACTGGTTTGTGAATACATATTGCCGGAACTCGGACATACGCGCCCTAAGTCCTCTGGCATTCCACTGAAGGACAGATGCGTTCTTGACCTCCTCGCGAAAGGATAACATGTTGCGGGCCATCGTTTTACCTTATAGCTGCAAGCACCGGACTCAAAGTGTCCAGCACTTGGAGTGCGCTCTGCGCTGATGGGGTGTTCATGTTGCTTAGGAGTATGCGCATTGCGCTCATAAGGGTCTGCAACATGTTGATGACCTGGCGATCCTCAGTTGTCTTTTCATCAGTGGTTCGTGATGGCATCGAAGTTGGTGGGGATCTATGCACCTCTGAAACAGGCTGTGTTCGTGGAAGTGATGGTCACTCTTCACGATGTGGGAGTCTTGACCCTGATTCTGTTTTCGGTGTATCCGTCTTCGCAGAGCTTGACGATGGGGGGCCAGTTCTTCTTGCTTGAGATGATGGGTCTCTATCGGTAGATGTCACGCTGCGTGATGATCTTCTGTGGTGACGCCGACGTCGCCTGACAGTAGCAGCGGCTTCCCTGTGCGTTGAATTGTCGCGCACCATGCGTTTCAGCACCGCGCGTTCATTTCTCACTCGTGGGCAATCTTTAGACGACGCTATATGAGCGCCGTGGCAATTGGAGCATTTGAACGCAGTTGCGTGGCAGGTGTCTTCTGAATGAGGTTCGGCACACCGCGGGCACACGACATTGCTGGTACATACTCCTTTGACATGTCCCATCTTGAAGCATCTGAAGCATTGTAGGGGCTTCGGTATGTATGGACGGACCTGATGGTGAACGTGGCCAACTTTGACGTGTGGGGGAAGACTGTCTCCCTCAAAAACAATCTTCAGGCATCGTGACTGACCAAGCCTTGTGATGTGCTTGATGAGGATGTCGTCTGTAGTTGGCTTTATCAAGATTGGGAAATTGTCAGCGGGAATGGAAATGTCCACGTCATAAATGACGCCAACACTGCCCTTACAGTCAGTGGGGATCACTGATTTAACTGTCACTCTGTCGATTTCCGAGATGTTCTGCAGGCTTTGCAGCGCACTACGGTGTATAACATCAACTGCCAGAATATTCTTCCGTGAGTTGAT